TAGCCCGCCAACCTCCATTTTGGCACCCTGCCCCACCCAGCGCCTTGGCGAGGGGGAGCCAACTGGAGCCCATGAAGGAGGCGGATGCTGGCCCAGGAGACCGTCTCACGAGAACAAATAAGAGCCTTTTTGGATATTTTCTTACCATTCACGCCCCCCTCTGTAATGTATTGAAAAGGCTTACGTGAATCACCTCATTCACCTCCCATGTTAAGCTTCGAGCCAACGAAGGCTCCATACACACTAACACACTATTGGTCGCTCAGGAACGACGACCAATCACAGCGAGACTAATTCCCTGAGCGGGAAGAACCTTCATTGGTCTTTATCCACACAATCTCATTGGCTGTTATTGTAAATAGGCGTGGCTACATTAGCCCGGGAATGTTTAAGAGGAGCCTAGCTCCTAATGTTAAACTGTTCTGGTTATGAATGCGTTTGAGTGCTTGTTTGTTACTTCAATAAAGCTGATCACTTTGCTGAAATCATTCTCTGACTCCTTGTTAGCGGCGATCTAACACCCTCCCTCAATGGCTTTCCTTGAGCAAAGGGGCACAAACTCTTTCAGACCCTACATCACCATTGTGTTTCTGGCTGGGTCAAAAGGCGGGATGGCTTTTCACTGAAACTGGCATACCTTGAGAGGTAACGACCGCGCTGCCCTGTTCAAGTGGGGCGGGGCATAGAATGTAGGAAGAACTGGATGGAATGTCAGCACGGCCGAGTCGATGATTTAAAAAAAAAGAGAAACCAGTAGGAAATAAAGAACATATTGAGCCAATCTCTATTTTACTTTCTACAGCAAGAAATACGGTTGCTGCCCCTTGGGAAAGCCCTTTGCCACCCCCACATCTTGGTTTAGTCATATCTGGTCTTGTTTTGTTAGGGCAAAGGTTACCGTCGGCACTACGCAACCACACACTGAGGAAGCTGGTGATAATTTTGTGGCCACCTGGTTTCCACTAATGTAATTTTTTTTCTGAACAGGATATCGTTCTGAACAACCCAATTTACAAAGATATGATCTAGTTTTTGGTTATCTATTTTTCCTTTTCTTCGTTGAAGGCTGTTTCTGCTGTTTCAAGACTCTCCTTCAAGACTCTCCTTTGTCTTGAAGGAGATATTCTGGTACAGAATTACAGAAGGAAACACAATACAACGGAGAGATTAAGTAATAAAGACGGGCAAGTCTTCTGTTACGAAAAGGTAGGGAAACCCTGTAAGGCGTCAACAAGCCAGTTTTGACCATATACTTGGTTTGCCAGGCCTGTTCCGATGTTTTCTGCAACGAGACCGGATATAATAAATGGGATACACAAAACTGTTTTTACAGAGCTGTTTCCTTTGCTCATCGGTGATCGCTGAGCTATGCTACACACAGAGGGAGACCACCACAACACTTGCATACTCTTGAGATTTTTGGACCAAAAGTGGAGTTGGCCACGGGTGCATCACAACCAACCCAAGCGCGCTATGAAGCAGAGGAACTCCACAGCGAGGGGCACGGGGGGTGGGTGGGTTTGAAAGCGAAGAGAGATTGCAATAAGGAACTGGCAGGTGCGTGCCCCTTTTGATACCCGACGGAAAAGGGTTCAACCCAACTCCTTAAGGTCCAGTCTCGCCCCCTATTCCTAGCAACGTACATCAAGCCAGGCATCCCTGACCTTCTTGAGCTTGTGGGCACTTTTGGAATTCTGACACAGGGGGGTGGGTGGGTGCAGCCACAAAGTGGCTGCAACAAAATGGCTGCTGCAGGAGGCGGAGCTAGCCACAAAATGGCTGCCACAGCTTACCTTCAGTCACACAGTGAAGATCATTGTGCTGCGCTGGCAGCTTTCCCCAAGGCAATGTTTTAAAAAATCCGCTTACCCATCAGACCTCCAATGGCCGACTGGAAGCCTTTCTGGGCAAAAGCCCCACCAGGCCACGCACATCGAGGACCCCTGCACAAGGCAGTTACGATTCAACTAGAAGACTCAGTTTTTAAGACCCCGCTTTTCTCTACCCTAAGGAGTCTCAAAGCGGCTTACAATCCCCTCCTCTCCCCGCAACAGGCACCTTGTGAGCAATGCTCCCTCTAAGCTGTGGAGCCCTCTGAGCAAAAATCCTACTTTGTGAGCGACTGGCATTAAAGTTGTGAGCGAGCGACTTTCCCTGCTGTGTAAATTAGTTTGCTCTGGAGCCCTCCTCCCTGAGCTACGACAAAAAAAATGCGTGGACCGGAGGCTAAAAAACTGTGCTCACACTAACTCAGCTTAGAGGGAACACTGCTTGTGAGGTAGGAGGGGCTGAGAGAGTTCTGAGAGAACTGTGGCTGGCCCAAGGTCACCCAGCAGGCTCCATGTGGAGGAGTGGGGAACCAAACCCGGTTCTCCCAGATTAGAGT